CAAACACCCAAGCGAGGAGGGGAGCCCAGACCCTCACAGAGGTGCTCTGAGCTCCTGTTCACTAACGGGAGCCCTGTGCGACTGTGGTCAGCAACCTGCTGGTGCTCATGGAGCACGACTCTTGCAGGGGAGACCCTCTTGCTCCTGTACGGAGCCGCCGAAGGTGGCATCAAGCTAATGCTGCGTCTGACAAAGCCCACGTGGAGAAGTGCAACAGCAGGAAAATGTATTTGGCAAACACTTCTTTTCACAAACAGCAGCAACTTGGAAGACAAAGCCCCATCCTCGTCACCAGCCCCGGAGAGAGGGAGTCACGACACCCTCGCTGTCTGCCACCCCCGCGGTGAAGGCACGGTCCTCGCCCGCCCCGGCAGGAACCACCGTGCTGGCCCATGCTCCGAGCTGGCCCCAGAGAGACCTTCTCCCGCCGCTGGCCGCCCTCATCTCATGGCAAAGGTGTAGACGTGGTAAATCTCATCGGGGAAGTTCTCCTGGCGCTCCTCGGCCAGGAGGTGCAGCCCAGCTCGGCGGATGATCTTACGGACGACGTCCAGGTCCCGGCAGACACTGCTGTCCACATCGTCCATGATCACGCCCTCCTGAGCCATGTTGTCCTTGATGACCACGATGCCGTTGGGCCGCAGGCCGGCACGGCAGCGCTTCAGGAAGTCAGAGAGGTGGTTGTCAGTGAGGTGTCCTGGAGGGGCAGAGCGGGTGTTAGAAGGCACGGGGTGACTGCGGCAGGACCCCCAGGCAGCACGCGATAAAAGGGGAAGAGACCAGGAGACTGCGGTTGGGATCCCTCCTGATCTGGGCCGCCAAATACTTGAGCCATTTTCAGGTGAAAGCTTTAGCTTGGGGGTGTCCAACTTGTGTCCCACGGGCTCTATCCAACTCCACCCAACCCACACCTCTGCCCTGGCCTCCAAGGGCTTGGGGGAGGAGACCCCACAGTAGTGCCCACGGAGGGCAGGTCCCCAACCCAGCCTCCCACCCACGCTGTGATGCTCATCCTTAACACAGACCTCAAGCTCTCCTGCACAAAGCTCTCCCCAGTGCGTGGGGCACCTGCCCCTCAGGGGAAGCTGGACGGAGGACAGGCTGGTGAGACCCCCGCAAGCCGAGTGACCCTCACCGATGACCCACTGGATCCAGATGACATCGTAGGAGTTTGGCTCGGGGCTGAAGTCCTGGAGGCCGCAGCAGAAGGAGTTGCGCACCCGCCTGCCCTCCTCTCCCAGGTAGCTCTTGGCCTTGGTGAGGAAGTTCTCCGTCACGTCCACCATGTCCACCGTCTTGAAGAGGGGCAGCAGCAGCCACTTGGTGATCCGGCCGATGCCCGCCCCGCAGTCCAGAGCACGGGATGTCCCCGTCCGGTTGGGGCCATCCTGGAACAATAACCATGAGGGGCTGAATCCTACTACGAGGTAGCCACAGAGGAGAAATGGGGCAACCACGTAGGACAGGGCTGGGGTATGGGGGACCCGTTGCAGGGCAAAGCTCTCCCAGCACGCACACAATGGAGGATCCCATGGAGCAACTCAGAGGGAAAAGCCCAGCTCCGTGCTGGAAGAAGGATGGGGCTTTGGGAGCGTGACAGACTGTGCCACCTACCCGCAGAAACTTCTGCAGGAACTTCCTGGAGCTGTTGATGTCGATGCTGGAGATGTGGCCATAGCCCCCCAGCATGCCGTCCACTGTGGCGGGAACATCCTTCCAGTACTTCTCCGCCTTGGAGTAAAACTCAAACTCGTTCTCCACCACCTCGCTCGTCATGCTGGCTGAGGGGCACGTGCCCGCGCGGGACTCACTGCTCCTCCGAGACGGGAGAAACCGCCAGTCAGGTCCGAAAGAGCCACAGGCATAAAGCCCCCCCCGAACCAGGGAGGCAGGCATCTGTGAGCACTCCAATTTCTATTTCCCAGCCCTTTCCCCTCCCCAGGGCTAAAAACCTTCAGCTGAGAGCAAGAAGGAACAAAGACCTAAATCCTGGTATATTCTGGAGACCAACAAGCCCAAAACCCCTTCCTGGGCAGGGATGCCTCAGCCAGACCAGGCACCCCGGAGCCTTGCTCAGCAAAACAGCCAATTATATTATTATTTTTTTAAGGCTGACCCACCCTTTTCACGTATTCTGCCTCTTCTTTCCCTGTCTTAATGTTTTACAGATTACACGTTTATCTGTGGCGACAGCCCCATCAGTCACCTCCAATTACATCTGGAGTTGCTGAAAGTTATCCTAAGCACCTACCTGAGGATTGTAAATCTCAGCCGTGACCATAAGTTAGATATTTGCAATATAATAAAGTCAAGGCATAATCAGCAATACAAGCTATAAATCCCCCCCAGACATCTCATAATTCAAACCACTGTGGATTTGATTAACTGCGCTGCGGATTAGAAACTAGATTTAAGGTGGCCAAAGGGTAAATTCAAGGACTTCAAACACCTTTACAAATAAAGAAATATATAGTGTTCGTGGCTTGAATTTGCTGGCAAATGTCCCATTAGACACAAAACCTTTTCTATGGCAGCTTAGGCAGTTTCGGTGGCCCCGCGTGGTCTTGAACAGCCCGGGGACAGAGAGGGGGATGCAGCATCTCACCTTACAGATCACCGGTTGAAATCCAGTTTGGCTCGGTGGGGCCGGGAGCCGGTCTGCACTGTGATCTAGGGGAAGAAAAGACGGGATTTTAGTCCCAAATCACCCCTTTAGTCCAGCAAGCGTGACTGAGGCCGACCGCAGCCCCAGGGAGCCGGAGGTAAGAGCCGCCCCGACCCCGTGGGCACCCTCCTGGGGCAGCTGGGGGGCAGGAGCTGGAGTCCCCATAGCTCAGAGGCGTCAGGAGGCTGAGCCACAGGGGCAGCTGGTGTGTGGAGGGGTTTGGCCCCACTTCAGGCAGCGCTGCCGTCTGATCTCATGCGTTGGGAGCCTGGTTCGCCCTCGCGGCAGTGTCACCGCTTCCTTGGCCCTGGGTTCAAATTGGTGACACCCTGGCGATGTTTT